CCTCCTTCTTCTCCTTCTTTTTTAGAAAAATGTCTAGTTCTTACTTTTCTTTGTCTCTTCTAAGATGTTCCCTGATCCTTAGACATAGAAGTTGTATTGTATATGTATTCATTGTGGATCAGCAACCCATGATCAGTTGATCTCTTCATTTTGACCAATTGTGACTTTCTGTAATGATCTCTCTTTTTGATACAAAAAGAAGTATCTTTGATAAAGGGTGAGAGGTACAATTCTCTGTGTCTATTAGGATAAGAATTTCAAATGCTCTTAGAAATTTTTAACACAAATCTTTATCATATCAGTGGTGATGGTTCTTTAGGAGAGTGTAAGATGTGGGTAAGGCAGGGTGAACAGATGTTTGGGAGGAATAGAGACTTGCTGGCTGTTTAGACTTCATGAATGGAGAAAGAGGCTGCTTGTTCATCCCAGCCACCCAGAACCAAAATAACCACACAGAAACTATATTAATTTAATTAATTAATTAATTAAACTGCTTCTCCCATTAGCTCTAGCTTTTTATTGGCTAACTCTTACATGTTAATTTAACCCATTTCTATTAATTTGTTTCTCACCACAAAGTCATGGCTGGTATCTCCAGAGGCTCCATTGCGTCCCTCTCACTCTGCCCCTCTTTCTCCCAGCATTCAGTCCAGTCCTCCCTGCCTACATCAGTTCTGTCCTTTCAATAGGCCAAGGCAGTTTCTTTTAATGGTAATTACAGCACACAGAGGGGACTCCCACATCACATGAACAGAGATAACAATTTCTCATTCTAGTATTTGAAAAACATAGTTTTTACTTCATAACAAATATCTAAATAAGTATTTAAAAAGCACAATGAACGAATCAAGTTCTTTACAGGAACAGCCATATCAAAACGGGAAAGCATGGTAGTTATTACTCTTTTTGAGGGCTGTTAATGTGGAACTATGAAAGCTCGGTTGCGGCAAACATTGCTGCTACTGGAAATCAAAAAACATTATTTTCAATCATTACTTTTTCAGATTTAATATTTATCTTATTTGGCATTTAAAATTGCTTCTCTTGTGTTTTTTTTTAATTACTTACTTTCATGTTTGGGCCATCCACAATCTTTTAAAACTATTTTATAAAATATTTATTTTATTTTATGTGTTTGAAGGATTACCTACATTTATGCATGTGTATCACATTCATGCCTGGTGCCTGAAGAGTCAGAAGAAGCTCTTAGGTCCCCGGGAGCTGGAGTTACTACAAATATTTGTGGGCACCATGTAGGTCCTGAGAATCTAAACCCCAGACCTCTGCAAGAGCAACAAGTGCTCTTAACTGCTGAGCCATCTGTCCAGTCCACTCCCCACCAGCCCTCTTTTCTGAACCCAAATACCTAGGAAACTCCATACTTGCAGGAAGGTCATTTGCATGACCCTCACAGTCTGGTCTGAGTATGTATGATGCACCATACCAACCAAGGTGTGATTTTTGCCTCTGATGATTCACAAAGAAAATCAAACACTCTCAAGTGCTGGGTACTGAAGGCAGATGCATCATTTGATGAATTCCAAAAACAAAGAAGAAAACTTGTCCTAACATTGGCTTGGTAATAAAACATTTTAAGAACATTTTCTGTTCTTGGATTCAAAGGAAAATACCAGATAAAAGCCCTGGGTTATTGCAGCTGCCATAATGCAAGGCACCTCTAGAGAGTCCTCCATGTGAAACCTCAAAGTCATTACATTTATAGCAATGCAGTTCATTCTTTATGTTATGAACAAGAAAACAGAACTGAAGGCAACAGGGATTTACCTATAATTAAAGGCTCAGAGGCAAATAGAGTCTCAGAGTGGCCCATCTTGCAAACATTTTGCTGACTTGACTACAGGGTAGAGAGAATGTCATTCAAATATGAAAATGTGTATGTTTATAAAAGGTTAATCAACTATTTTATTACTTATGGTACACAGTTGTTTTCTTTTGAATCTAGACTGCCACAGACTTGCATTAGGAATGCTTAGTCCCCAGGTATGGATGCTATTTGGGAGACAATAGAACTTTCAAATCATGGGGCCTCACTGGTAGTAGTTCAATAAAGGAAGGCCTTCAAGGGTGATACTGGGCTCCTACTTCCTGTCTCAGTCTCTCTGCTTCCTAGTCACCAGACAACAGCCTCAAACATACTTCTTCTAGCATGAACTGAACTATTTTGCCAAGTCTTCACCACCATGGTCAACTAACACCTCCTGGATACATGAGCCAAGACAAATCTTATTTTCCTTAGGTTGTTTCTGCTGGGGAGTCTGTCCACGGCAAAGTAAAAGCGACTGCTACAAAACTGAGTATTTCTGCTCTTCCCAAACCCACGCAGTGACATTCAATAAACCTCAATGTGATGGTGCTAGGAGGTGGAGTTTGGGAGCTGTTTCTTCACAAGGGTAGAACCTCTGAGGCTAGAGAACAAACATCTTCAGTGGCCCACTGTGTAAGGACGGAGCAAGAGGACGGTCACCAGTGAAGCGGATCTGCCCGTGTCTGCATTGTGGACTTACCAGTCTCCTGGACTGCAGGAAATACATTTCTGTTTGTATAAGCTACTTAGCCTACTGGGACTAGGATCCTTTCCTGTTAAAATATAGACCATTCCAGAGTCTGTGCTTAAGTCGAATCCTGTGGCTAGAATGCCTTCCCACCAGACATTTTCCTGTGGATACCACAGAAATTGTGGTTGGAGATTCAGTTTTCCAGAAGTTTAAGAAAACATGAGAGCATAGGAGAAAATGCACTTTTCCCAGTTGGTTATGTCCCCAAAGTCTTGGGAGTCAGCGTGTGGTACTATTTGGTTCACTTAGATAGTGAACTCTCAGGAGAGGAAATAGGGTTATTGTGGGTTCGCTCCAGAAGTGCTTCTAGCTACCCTGTCCCCTTCCTGTCCTTCACTTTTACGTCCCCACCACATGAGGAATAAACTTCCTCTGCCAGCCAGGTCTGCCGTCAAATGCTGTCTCACCACAGGCCAGCCAACCACGGATTGGAGCGAACACAACAGTTTGCCCAAACAACCCTGTCTTTCCTTTAGGCTAGCTATCTAAGGTATTTTGTCAGAGTGACCGAAACCTGAATGCTACAACATTGCATTAACTGGATGAAAAATCCATGAAATCAAATTGATAAATATTTAATCCCATATCCATAAAATGTAGCAGTCTAGCATCTTGTCAAATGTAGCTTAGTTAATAGCATTTTTCATGAACTATAAAGTAAACTTCAATATCAGGGCCAGGCACATTGTAAATGTGTTTGATGTGATATTAAACACTTCCAAATGGTGATAAGTGACCTTAAAACTCCCACTTCTTCCCATCCCACCTAGAGACAGCTATTCATGTGTCAAATGCCACTTCCCAGTGAGGCTGCCTGCTGCCCTACGTTTCTGCCTCCTCCAGGCTAAGCAGCTAGTGTCTGTTTCTCTCTGTTCTGTTCATAATTTATTCACAGTAATGAATTAGAGTTTTATGTTTTGCTTATCCTTCAGTATTTTTCATTTTTTTACAGACACGAGGCCAGGCCTGGTAAGACAGTGGGTGACCTGTGGAAGTTTGATGAATGAAACTTCTTTTCAGTTTAGGACCTAGAATTCGTCGAGTATAGTGCTAATTTTTGGAATCTATCTATGCTTAGACTGAGATGCATTTAATCTTGGAAAGCGTACTGTTTTTTCTGGATCCTTTTGCATATGTAATTTTCTTCCAACTGTGTAAGCCCTAGTGTAGCAGAAACATGTTCAATCAGTTAGCTTTTCATGAAGGAATGACCAAGCTGAAATTTCCCAAAGTTTCTTGCCCACTTCTCTACTTCATTCCTCTTATCTACTTCTCTTGAACCCAGTAAAATGTTTTCTCTGCGTTTTATTTTTAAAATCATAGATAAAGCAGTATATATATAAAACCATTTCAAGGACCGAGAAAAATGACTCAGTTAGTAAAGTGTCTGCCAGGGAAGCATGCAATCTGAGTTTTGATGGCCAATCCTAGTTCTGATGGTCAGAAGTAAAATACACCAGGAGAGGGAGATTGTTAGACATGCTTACTATCCTCTGAGACAAACAGTTGCCACTTCAGGGAGTTCAGTTGTGCCTGCTTGCAAACGATCACCCCAGTTGGGCTTGTCAGCCTACATTCCCTCATAAAGGGGAAAGAATTGTCAATGAACCCTCACCCGAGGATACAGCTGCTGTGCACCACCTGTTATTTGTAAGGTACCCAGTGCACAAGACCTTGGGGAGGGGCTAGAGTATAGAGGCTGGGGAAAACTAGGGGAAGGGACTTTCCACAAGGTTGTGGAAAACCATCAACCCTGCTGGGTAAAGACCTTCCTGTGCAGCCCTCTGAGGGGAAGCACCTACACTCTTGTAAATAACACCTTATTTATGCTCTGTCAAAGTCCAACAAACTGAATCTGGTTCACCCGTGTGGACTTCTGTGGAATCGTGCCTCAGGTTTTCAGTGGGAATTTAGGAGGAATTGTAGAAGTCACTTATGTCTCCCCCTAGGAAGGAATTTTAACAACATATACACTATATTCTCCTGTACCCAGCACTGAGTCTGCAGCGACTCTGGTTGCCAGGTGTGGCTGGAGTCACCTTCATCCATTCACTGATTTATCTTGTGGTTCCAGGAGCCAATTTTTTGAAGGGTTATTTGTATTTTAAAAAATGAATTAAAAGAGAGATGAGCGTCATACTCATTGTTTTCTTTTCTGTGGAAACAATTTGACCAACAGCCTCTAGTTCCCAAAAATTTCCTTAAAACATAATGATTCAAAATGTTCTGTCTCTTGAACCTTTTTATACACTTTTTCAATAATTCCATGATATTTGTTTTCTGGTTTTGTGGAAGGGAAAAAGGCTGAAGAGGCTTAGCCTAGCACTTAATATTTTTACACTTAGCCATCTTGATTAATTATAGCTGTGTGCTGCAGAAGTTCAGCATAAACTGGGTCATTTAATGTATAATTACACCTTTTAGATGAATCTCAAATCTATTGCTGCAATTTTCCATGGGTTGCTGCTGCTGTTCTGTGCCTGAACAGAATCCAGTTCCAACCATCCTGTAGCAGGAGGAATTGCTTCATGGACTAGGTGAGAGAAGTGGAACCAGCCCGAAGAGAAAGCAACTTTACAGCATCAGAAAAGGGAGAAAACTGGTAAGTGACACCATGAACAGTCATAAAAAACAAATTCCATTTCACAGATGGTGAAACTGACAGTCCATATGATGGATGATAGGTAACAGTCGACACGGGAATAAGTTTTTAAGAAATGCTCCAAGGTCTTGGTAACAAAATGTTGCTTATGTGCTGCAGCCAACCTTGTGAAGCGTGCATATTTATCTCTTAGCCCTGTGGAAAAATGGAATACTGCAGGAATAAAACGGTAAGCAAGAGAAAAATCCAAGGCATAACTTTGGCTTTGCCTTGAACTTTACAATGTTAGCATAAAATTTATAAGGTGTGCTAGATTTTTTGTAAGGGTAATTTTTTAGAGACAATAGTAACATTTTATAATTTGGTTGCCTTCATGTGTGTCAGCATTAGACTTTCAATATAGACTTGCACAAAAGATAAAACATTATCACCAAAATGTTCAAATTCTTTAATTGAGTAACATATTTAATACCTAATTTGCTTGGTAGATTTGGTGCTGTGTCTCCTTCTTAGAAATCTTTTTCCAATTTGAAAGGTGATAGAAGCCCTTAGAAGTGCATCAGAGATGTCCTGCAGATAAAATAATTCATAGAGCTGTTTTCTTGTTCTGGAAAGTTCAGTGATACTAACATAAGTGTCAAGGTTTTAAACTGAGACTTGTTTTACAGTTTCATTTTCTTTAATGTGTTCTAGACATTAAAATCTAGATTACTACAGACAATAAATTGTCAAGAGATCTTAAAATCTTTTAACACACACACACACTTAATTTCTATCTAAATACAAATAATGACCAGTCAGTATGAAACCCATGACACTGGTCCTGTTGACTTCAGTGCTCCCCTTTCCCAAACCATTTATTCCTTTACAAACCGAGTTCCTTTTTGTAAAATAAGTATAATAAAAACTATGTGGTCATGTAACATTCTTGCTAAAATAACTCTTCTGGGTTTGTGGGAAATGCAGGCTACCTTCCATGTTTGTTATTAAGATACATTGTCCTTCACTAAATTGCTTTGAGCATTACTTCTGATCTTATTTCTGTGTGTCTGTGTGTTCTCATTCTCTAGGGTATAGAGCTAGAAGTAGAATCCCCAAGTTATCTAATAAGTTCATATTTAGTATCTTGAGTAACTGACAGCATTTTCCAAAGCAGTTATAGTGTTTTATGTTATCCTCAGTAATGTGTGAGAGGATTTTTAATTCTTGATATTCTAAATAACATTTAGTATTTTGGGGACTTTTCTTATTCTAATCAATATAATTTATAAGAAGTAGTAGCTTTTGTTTGCATTTTCTGCTGAATAATTATGTCAAGAGTGTCTTCTTGTGTTTATTCACCATTTGAATGTCTTCTGCAGAGACGTTATTATAGAGATGCTCAACCTCCTTTTAAAATGACTTTTTTAAAAAACTTTTTGAGTTATTTGTTAGATCCCTGAACTAATACAACAGTTTTCAATTTCTGAGCATAGGGTGAAGTTTGGTCGTGACTCAGTGACTCTTCCTCAACCTCCATCTAGTATTCATGAGGAAGTCTGTAGGTTGAGAGCAAAGGGGATTTGTTGCATGCTTTGTTTTGAGACAGGGTTGTCTTTGGCTTAGAACTTGCTATGGAGCCCAAGCAGGCTTCAAGCCCACAGAGATCCTCTTACCTCTACCTAATGAGTGTTGGATTAAAAGTGTACATCATCCTGCCTTGTGAAATTTCTGTGGTGGTTATTTTGGTTATTTTCTATCACTGAGGGGGAATTATTGGTGCCTTTCCATTATCCTGGACTCATCTATACTGTAACACACAAATCTTCACGTCAGGGTGGCAAGAAGATTCTCCAGCCATGTGTCTATCTGAAAAATCCTTATCTTCTAGGGAAGGTGAAGCATACAACTCAACTGCCTTAGAAAAGTGAGCCTCCTGCGTCTCAAGATAAAAGCAAAACCTGTTTCTGAGGAAGAAAGACTGTTATGCTCAATGGGTGGCATAAATCACAGCGATTTCTTCTTTCATGTTATACATGCTGGAAGTCCAAGACTAAAGTCTGTTGAAGTTTGCTTTCTTTTGAGTTCTGCCTCCCTGGCTGAGATTGTTGCCACGTGGTATCCCTTCTGTGGGACAGATTGAATTGGAGCCCCTTCTAAATAACCTCATATTAATTTAATCACCTCTGTAAAGGCCCTGAATTTAGACACAGTGGAATTCTGAAGTGTTAGGATTTAAATCTTTGATATTTGTGGGCTGATGGGAGAGCTCAGTAGTTAAGAGTATGTATTTTGCTGTTGTGTAAGACCAAGTTCTGTTCCCAGCACCCACGGTTAGTAGCTCACAATTGCATGTAATTCCAGCTCCAGGAGGATTCCAGACTTCATGGCCACATACCCACATGTAGAAACACACACAGACACACACACACACACACACACACACACACACACACACATATAAATATAAATATACAAGTAAAAATAATAAAAATCTTATAGCTTTGCATTGAGGTTTTAAAAGTTTAGATTAAGTTTACAACAGGATAGAAGTTAATACCTCTGATCCTCGGAAAAAATCACAAAGCTCTCATCAAGGATCTCAAATGAAGCTTCAGAAATGATCAGGAAATGCTAGAATGGGGTTAGGAAACCATCCTCTTTAAGCACAAATCATTAATCACAGCCCTGAGAGTCAGAACAAGACATAAAACTCCCTACCACTGTTCATGAGAAAGAGCAGGGGGACCCTCCTCTCTCTATGTACTAGACTGACATAAAACTTTGTTGATTTGTTTAAATTATTGTTAGATATGTAAGTTTTTCAAGTCTATAAGCACTTCTGATTTATTCTTCAATGAATAAAGAATTGGGAATGGCATAACTTGACTCCTTAATTAGCTGTAGGGCTCTCTTGTGTTTTCTTTGCTACATGAACCAAAACCAATGTCAAGAGCCTGCTGGATCACCTTCACTCCTGCATGTACTGTCTTCAACATTCTAAATATCATAGCAATTGTCCTGCCTCTGTAGACATAGTCCCAGCTAGGACTGTTTCTTTTTTTTGGGGGGGTGGATGGGATCGGGGGGTAAGAATAAGTTTATTCTGAATCCAAATATTAGTGACTGTGACCTAGAAACATGGATTCAAGTCACCCTAGTTTCTGTGTCCCTGTGTGGTGACAGTTTGATAAAGCCTTCGTAATAACAGAATAACAATAAGAAAAATTTACAAATCACTATACTTTCTGCAACATTGGTGGGTAACCTAGATAGATGATGTGATAGTTGTCAACATGAATCTATCTGGAATTAATTAAAACCCAAATGATTTGGTATCCCTATAAGGAATTTTTCTTAAAATTTTTATTGATTTTTTTCTAAATCATCTGAAGTCAGAAGATCCACTTCTAACTCGGATCTTTGACTGTGAAGGTACACCTTTAATCCAGATCTTTTGACTAAGATGACTTTGCTCTGATTTGGGCCTCACCTTCCGCTCTCAGTCTCTAGAAAGGACATGGAAGAGGAAGCTTGCTGTCGTTGCCTGCCTGTTCTTACCCTCACTAGCCAAGTCCATTCCTTCACTGGTATTAGAGTCTATTTCTTTAGGATTCTGGTGTAAACTGAAGACCAGCAGAGACATTCAACCTTGTTGACTGAACACTGGGTTCTTGAACCTTTCACTGGTAGGAAGGCATTGTTGGACTAGCTGAACCACAGCTTATTGATCATTCTAATCTACATATTCTTTCTATGAGTTCTGTTTCTCTAGCGAACCCTGACTAATACAGGCAGGTAAGAGTAAAGTGGGGGAATCTCCACTAGAGGATGGATTCAGAGGACTGCTTGAAATTGTTTACAACCAGCTTTTTGCAGTCACAAGACTCAACAATCTATTTCCACCTTGGTTAGAGGCACTACCTCTGTCGGAGGGACTACTGTGACGGGACGCAAGTGCTATGGAACAATCTTCGCACACTATAAATATGTATTACTCTCATCGGTCAATAAAGAGCTGACTGGCCAGTGGGTAGGCAGGATTTTCGGGTCAGAGAGAAGGGCTGAGTCAGATGAGACAGCGTTAGATGCAGAGTGAACAGGATAAGAAGTATGTAGGTGAGGTAAGTGAGTCTCGGAGCAGCACATAGATTAAAAGAAATGATTAATTTAAGTTGTAAGAGCTAGCTAGCTAGAAACAAGCCTAAGCTCTGAACTGAGCATGTATAATTATTATTAAATCTCTGTGTGGCTATTTGGGAGCGGCTGGCAGGACAGAGCTGATCATCAGTCCCAACAAAAAACTCCACCTACAGACAAGTCCTGATTGATGTAAAACACAAACCACAATGACAGTGATTGATCCAAAATGAATGGCTGTCATTAGTCAAGCAAATAGCTACAATCCATCAAAATTTAGGAAGCTACAGAAGCAGCTCAACAGCCCCTACAATGGCTAGGGACAGAAGAAGGAGGGGAGGTGAAGTAGAAGAGATAAGTAGAGAGCTATAAAGGCCAAACGGAAACAGTGAGACAACTGGCAGGCCTTGGTTGCCAGAATTCCTGTCAAGACATCAAAAATCTCAAATGCTAGAGCTAGCAGTGGCTGCTGGAAATGGCCAAGTGTCTTCATAGCCGAGGCCCACATAGGGACTATGACATTTGTAAGGCAAAGTCCCTATACTCAGATGAACCTAGGGTCACTACCAGTTGAAGGTTCCACTTCTTGCTGCTTCTCTGTGCCTATTGTTTGCCTGGTACTGTCAGGCTCTGAAGAAAAATAACAGCTGTCAGAGACCAGCGTCTGAAGGGCATCTTGCCTATTAAGGATTTCCACCCAAGTAGCTAAAGAACTCTGAGCCAGGAAAGTACGAACACACTCACGCAGTCTTATACCAAGGGGGACACAAAAGTTGACATACTTAATGTGAAGGTGGGAACAAATGCTGAGGACCATCTGCTGCAACCAGTAACAGTCGAAGCACCAGGTAAAAGCAGGTGACTGCTTCCATTAAGACTGC